TGATGTGGACATAGTGGTAGCAGTTGGTTGGCTTTTGGATACAATGTGATGGTAATGTGCCCTTTGCAGAGTTTCACAGTGGTGTCCAAGAAATGAATTTGTCATGTGGACTATTCAGGAATCAGTTTGGAGGGATGGATATTATTAAATTCTTTTATTGCTCTCTCTGCAAGTTTGTCCTTAACATCTGATAAAGTAGGCTTTAACCCACCTGCAAAAACTTGTGCCTCTCTGAACCATTTGGTAACTAAGCTGCCACCTTGCCTTGCCTTCTGCCTGATTTCAGACTAACACAGCAAACCATCTCAACTGACAATATCAACCAGAAACCTTGAGGTCTACATATTCTCAAAATTGTCACTTACACATGGGTACATTTAATCTTGAATGTAAACAAGCTTCCTCTTCACTGCTTGCCAGTAGAAGATGAAAAATCAAAGAAATTATTATCTTGTCCTGTTAAACCTGTGACATCTCACTGTCAGCTTTGTGTATTCCATGACTGTGAACTTCAGTGATAGTTGCACAGCTCAATTGTTTTTACTTGTATTTAGCAAATAGTGCTTAAGAGTACTTTGGCACAGTTGAAGTGGGTTGTGGTTTGAAGGCTTACTTTAGCAGTCACTCTGGGGATCTTGTCTTGACAGATGGTGTTCACAATTCAATGTCAATTTTCCCTTCTGTTGGATTTTCAAGTGTGTGTGGTCAGCACCCTTTGCAGTCAGTAGATTTGTCAAATCTCTTTAACTGTCTCAAAGACCATCCACAGCAAATACTCTCTGCTTTTTAGAACATTAATGAAGAGTATGCCTAAGAAACATGAGTAGTCATTGTCTAAATGTGCTTATCTTGAATAGGAAGCCAAATGTTAAAGACTTAGTTTGGGATGTTTTGCTTAAGTACCTCAGCGCAGATTACAAAATGCCTTTTTTACATGTTTATATCATTCATAAACCTATACTTTCATCCTAAATGTCTTATTGAGTAGATTTAAGTGTTGAGTTTGCAGATTACTGTTGAAACCTAACAAGTCCTTTGCTGGACATACACTGAACAGTTGTATTAAAATGTTTGGTTTATACACCTGTGTTCCACTGGTCTCTTTGTAGCCCAAAGCAGCAGCTGCTCCAGCACAATCGCCAGCTACAACTCAGCAATCAAATGCCACCACCACCACCACCACCACCACCACTACAGTTAGTTCTACTACAACAGCTACTGCAGCTCCCACACCAGCTCCAGCTCCTGCCCCAGTTCCTGCTCCTGCCCCCACCCCCACCCCTGCTCCCACCCCTGCCC